CACTTCACGCCTGTCTTCTGTGTGGTCGTGGTATTACTGGGGGCGTGCCGGCCCTGCAGTGCTAAGATGTTAAAGCGGGCACTACCACTGTTTTGTAATTTAATTTTTAATTATAAGCAACACAAATACATCATGTTGTTCACAAAAAAACTGTTTTAATTATTTTACTAATATTATAAATGCGATATTTTAGATGGATGGATGTTTGTTAGAGTTTGTAACCTAAACGGCTGAACGGATTTCGATGAATTTGTTGTTGATGAAACTTTCGTTTTTTTATTTCACACGGCCGAAGTCACGGGCGAAAACCAGTATTATAACAAAGTTATATGGAAAGATGGAAGAATGTATGTTAAAGTATATATTCTAAAATGCTGAACCTCAATAAAATTTGGCAAAGGTAAGAACATAGTCTGGAAGAATATAGGTTGCGTACTAAGTTTTTTTTTAATTCAGCAGGGGTGTCGCGGACGGTTAGTATTATATGCAGAAACGCAATCTTATTAATTGTAAGATAAATATTCTTTAAGTTTAGGAAACCTGTTTATTTCCAATGCAAAGTTAAAATGCTTGTTTTTGAATGGAAACTAACCACACGGGATATTCTAAGTTACTTAAAGTTCAGCGGTCAAAGTTGTGGTCTTCGTTACATCGTTGGTTGACTTAAGTTCATTTGAACTTTCGAAGTTAATAGTTTGAGTTGGAGTTTACACCTCGGCGGCAAACTCTGATATAAACTATGCACTAATTGTTTATTAATTAAGGCATGAAAGGCTCTAAGATTTTTAACATATATCAATATTGTCTTATAACACTATTTTTGACCACATCAGTAAACATAATTGTCGGTAATCTACACATGTTAAGTTTTAATTGCACAGTTTAACTGTACAGTTATAAATAGAGCTTTGTAGATAAATCTGAGAACTGATCAGTTTCACAGTTCAAATCTTGCTTACACTTCAGTTATAAATGTATAGTTAATTTAAAACTATGTAATCTTACTATCTTACTAATATTACAAATGCGAAAGTTTAGATGGATGGATGTTTGTTAGCGTTTGTAGCCTAAACGGCTGAACGGATCTCCTTGAAATTTGGCACAGGTTTAGAGCATAGTCTGGAAAAACACATAGGCTACTTTTTATCCCGGGATAAGTTACGGTTCCCGTGAGATTCATTAATTTAGTTTTTTAATGTTAAATCTCATTCTGCAACGGATCAACATATCTTATTTAAATTTGGCACAGATGTAAAACAAAGTCTGGACTACACATGGGATAAGCTTCATCCCCGAGAAATGTCCGGTTCCCGGATACATAGCTTTTTGTTATTTATATAGTTCGTATGTTTTCAGCTTCTTTAAAATAAAGGTGTGTGAAGTTCTACCGTCAGCTAATTTTTTGAAAAAACGTCCCTGTTATTTTTACTAAAGAGAAAAGAGACGATAATAACACATGTGATTTTTGTTATAATTTTGATATTACTAGACGATTTCATTTGTTTTTGTAGTGGTAAGATCAGACGCACACCTTTGACTAAACTTTCGCACAACCGTTGTGCGATTGTCGATTGTTTCGCAGCTTCAACTGTTCACTTGCACAACTAATAATCGTGTAGTGTGCACGTCCATATAAGCTGATAGGAATCAAAGCGAGACTAAACAGTTGTGCAATAGTTTAGTCAAAGGTGCACTCTTACTGCCGAAACACTTAAGTAACTCAAATATCTGAACACTCCAATAGAGAAAACATCTCTCCAGCAGTTATCGTCATATTTATAGCGAAAAAATAATGTTTTTGTATTAACATTAAACCTCTAAGCCAAACAAAAATCGTGAATTCTATACGATACGTTTGGTTTGACTTTTTTCCTGTTTTCTACACCCTTTCTTAATCCTGTATATTTTTCTTATGTTTATCTTTACTTAAGAGGTTTATTTTGTGTCTTAACAAAAACTTTCCCTGTTTATTTACAACTAGCTTTTGTCCACGACTCCGACCGCGTGTAATTTAAAAATAATAATAAAGAAATGTAAAAATATAGCCTTTGTTACTCACAGATAAATTACCTTTCAGTGAAAGAGTTTTTAAAATCGGCCCAATTATTGAGGCTATTCATTACAATCAAACAAACAAAGTTTTCCTCTTTATAATATTAGTATGGACTATTTGGAAATCCATAGAAGATTAAAATAAAATATTAGTTTTAAGAGATATTTATTATTTACGTTTACGCTAAGCATATCAGAATATACTTTTTCATCTATCTTTTTTAATACAAGGTGGCTAACGAGCAAGCGGCCAGCTGGATCCACCGAAATGGAAAGCGACCGCTGCCCATAGACATTCCCAATTGCAGATGCGTTGCCTACCCTTCATTGACGGACCAGACGCACATAAAGAGGACATTTTCCATTCCTATGTCTCTCCTCTATCGTCAAATCTACTTTTCCTTCCCATCCATTCCTCTTAAAAAAAGGGTGGAAACGTAAAGGGACTAAAATTAGGCTATCTATTATATTATGATTGGATTTCTTTAATATTTACCTAGAAAACTTTATTTCAATCACGTTTGAACAGTATAATGTCGCCCGTTTTCTTTTAAAGAAACGTCAAAGCGAAGAAATCCTTAATCGTATTTCGTCACGCTATCATTGCCTTTTACTGGGAAACTTTATTTGATACTTGCTTTTGCTCGAGAATTTGTTAGCGTGGAATTAAATAAATACATAGTGTAGAATATTTATTCATCAAGACTACACCTTTATGTTGCCACTGAATTGTATTCCATCCATCTAAAGTTTTGCGTCCAATACTTACATTGGTATGATCAAATAAATAGTTTTATTACTTTTATTTGATACTAGCAGTTCCCGTGCGGCTTCATCCGCATGAAATTATGAAAATTTGATTGTTGACGTTTGTCAAATTATCAATAGCAAATTTCAAAATGACATGACATGACAAACCTTGATTCCTTGATGTTGGCAGCAATTTATGGTCTCTTTCCCATATTAGAGTTTTTATCCAAAATATTTACCACCTAAGTTAAAATAGCGTGAAAATATATAGCCTAAAGCGTGACTTAAGTGTAGGGCTTTTTATTAAAAAGAATTAATCAAAAACATGCAATAATTGCTGACATCTTAGGCAACAAACAAGTGTGTGTTTACGCTTTATTATAATAGTATAGATTTGGGTAAAATACATATTTAATCTTAGTAAGTACTAATAGATAACAATGCGTTTTAGTATTATTTTAACATTGAAAACTTATAACAAACATTATTTTATTAATAAAACAGAAATTCTTTCAAATTGACATCAGCTTTTAAAACATTCGTCTCCAATGTAAAGGGACCATCTGAAAAAACAAAATAAAGTTTGGTAAAGACCGACGTTACTATAATGATACAACGTGTAACATGTTATATTACATCCCGTAACATAGCTTTAGCAATTTTATTTATACAAATTCGACCCATTTTACGCAAAACATTATTAAAAAAAAATCATATGATTTTGACAATTTTTAATAGCATTAGTAGTAATGAAAGAAAATAAAACAAGAGCCTTTTAATAAAAATAAAAAAGTAACTGTTCTTTTAGTATTTTATATAGTGTCTTATATCAGAGAATTTAGTTAAGTCATTTTATTCTTACCAAGTGCGAACCATTCCGTCCTCGGATAACCGGTTTCTTCTCGAGATGAGACAATCGCCGCTCGCAAAGCAAACGCCACGCTGACAGCTAGACACATCGGTGGCTCTGTTGTTGCTGGAAAATATGATAAGAAAAACTCACACCCGTAACATAGAGGGATAGGCAGAGAACGGAATACTTAGTGTGAACTTGGTACAATTCTCTTAAAAGTTAACATGCCTTTTAATATGGCAACAAAGTAAGTATTCCAGATCTTTCTTTATTGCTGATATTCATGGATGACTATCCAGTAACTTAATGAGAATCACCACATATCTTTATAAGAAACTCGATTTATTTAGATAAGTGACATGTGCCTATCATAGTCTTTGCAGTCTTCTCATGTAAATCTTTCTTACTTCTAGCTCCAAAAACTTCAACAGGATTGAAAGAATTCGGTCTCAGTTTGACTCTGAAGTCGATAGGTATGTCTTTAACCAGAGGCACGTGGTAGTTCCACGCGCGATCCGTGAGCAGCTCTCCGGTCTTTTTATCGTAAATCAAATGTTCACATGTCCAGTAACCAGTTGCCATTATAAATGCTCCTTCAATCTGATTAAAAGAAACATGTTTAATTTTATTTAAATGGAAAGATATTTTAAAAATGAATGAGACGGATACATGTCTAAATAAGTTAGATTAGTTTGACAATTCACTTCAAATTTAGTAGGGATGGGTTGTGTAAAATCAGTCATGAATCTTATCGATTTTCGATTTTTATTCTTATAGAAGTTGGAATCGATAGATTCATAGTTATAACTTATGAATTGAAAAAAAACACTGTTTTCTCAAATGAATAAATGTTTTTTTACTATTACAGCCGTACGTAATCGAATTGAATTTCGCTATTATTTCTGTCATCGCTAAATTCTATACACTATAATCGATAATAGAATTGTCCTCTTTATTAGTTAATAAGAAAATAATAATTTTAGATGAGTTTGATAAATATTTAAATCGAATATCGATAGTTCAAAATTGTTCGCTGCGTGTTTGTTTCGTCACTACGATACCTGTCTATTAAGTACGCCATTTGCCTTTATACAAATTGTATTCGATACTTCATATGCTTCATTTATCAAACTAATCTATCCTATTTAGACAAACTATAATTTATTCACCTGTCCAATATCTATTTCTGGATTTACACTGAATCCAACATCCTGTATAATGTCTACTCTTAAAATATCATGTTCTCCTGTTAGTATATCTAGTTCTACTTCTACTACAGCAGCTCCTGGTACTCTAAAAATTTGTTCATCATTGGGTGTAACTCTGTAACTTGTTTGTAAATTTATACCACGCATATACGCTGTCTGTACAAGTAATTCCCATGTAGGATCATTCAGAGTATCTCTGATTGCACTTAATCTGTCCAGAATTAGTTGACAACATTTGGTAGCAGCAAAACATATAGCGTGGGTTGTCCGACTTCCACCAGTTATATTGGAATTAGGTGTTGCAGACACTTCTGTCGATTTAATCTTCACTTTGTGTAAAGGAATTTGCAGTACGTAAGCAACTGTTTGAGTTACTTTAGTATTAATACCCTGACCCATATCTATACATCCATGTCTTATAACTACAGAACCATCACCATGATAAACTGTCAGTAGTACAAAAAAGTCCATCACAGTTGACGCAGGCCAACTCATCATAGCAACACGAAGTCCTCGTTTCTTCCAACGATTCAATTTGTTGAAATCCTCTACCTCTTCTTTACGTTTGTAATATTCACTTTCCTTAACTAACATCGCAACGATTTCAGCTAAATCTGAATGTTGTGGATTCAAATTATTCAAACGCACTTCCAACGGATCTTTATCCAGTTCGTAAGATATACGTTCCATTATGTGTTCTGTCATTGCTATAGCTTCCAGTTCACCTACAAAAATGCATCACAAATTAGTAAAACCATATAGAATCAAGGTGCTTCCTACCTTGTTAAGAGTATTATTTAATTCGCAGACCAGTGACGTCAATTTCTGGTGAGCGCCCTGGTCTGTACCCTAACCTAGAGATAACAGTGGAAGTGCCCGCTTTAACATCTTAGCACGAATGGACCGGTACACCCGGTGTAATACCACAACCACACAGAAGATAGGCGTGTAATGGAAGTAATTCCTTGTTTCGTCTGATGAGTGTGGTGCCGGAGGCCTAATTTAAGTCTATTTCTCTTTACCAACCTTTTCTTATAAGGAGAGGATGGGAAGGAGAAGTGGATTTGACGGCAGAGGAGATGCATAGTAAAGGTAAATATCCTCTTTATGTGCATCTCCTCCTCCATCGGATAAGGGTAGGCAACGCATCTTCAATTGCGAATGTCTAAGGGCAGTGGCCGCTTGCTCGTTTGCCACCTTATGTAATAATAAAAAAAGATAGGGCATGGTTACCCTAAAGCCGCTACTACTCTGTCCCAATTAAGAAATTTAACATCATCGTGTTAGTATAGTGATTACCTGGAGCTCGGGCATACGTATTGGACGCGGTATCAGTAGTGACGTTGAATAACTTATAAGACCATCTTCTGTTGTCGTAGCAATTCTTCACAGCTGATACACCAAATAATAGGATAGGATCGCCAACAACGTATCCATTGTCTATGTACAAATTATAATCCAAATACTGCACTTCCCCAGTATCACTTACTTCGACCTGAAATGTGAATAGCTGTACATTGTTATGTTAAAGACTATTTAATATTTTCTACTTTCGCTGATAGATATGGATGTCAACATAAATGTGTACCACCACAGTAGTTTTCAGAATAAGTTTTTTTTTTATATTATAAGGTGGCAAACGAGCAAGCGGCCACCTGAATCCGCCGAAATGGCGAAGCGACCGCCGCCCAGACATTGGCAATAGCGGATGCGTTGCCTACCATTAATCGACGAAGGAGAAGATGCACGTAAACAGTAATTTTTCTATGCGTCTCCTTCACCGTCAAATCCAGTTTCCTTGCTATCCTTTTCTTATAAGAAAAAGGGTGGGAAGGAAAAGGAACTAAAGGCGGGTCTCCGGCAACACACTCATCAGATGAAACGCGGAATGTCTTCTATTTCACGCCTGTCTTCTGTATGGTCGTGGTATCACAACGGGCGAGCCGACTCATTCGTGCGAAGATGTTAAAGCGGGATCTACCACTGTTAAGAGTACTTTACGATTACTTTAGTACTTACTATAGTATTTTTTCAACAACCGTTAGTGAAACGCCCGTAAAATTTAAACTCTAGATTCAGAGTAAATAAGCTATTTATTTATGTTAGAAACATGTATTTATTTCAGTATGGCCAATGATATAATTTTTACCTCATAATCTATCATAGTAGGGTTCCGTTTACCAATAATCCTAGTATTGGCTTGCATAGACATCACGAAGCGACAAGGCCGGTTGGTCAGATACGTAGAAAGAGCGCAGGCGCACGCGATCATACCGTTCCGGGATATTTTAACACCGTACGCTCCGCCCAGACGTGGTATTGTTAGATTAATTCTGGAAATATAGATTTAAAAATTTCCATAGAGATTCCTGTCACTAAACTGTATCAGAATAAGTTTGAAAATAATTAATATAGTGGAGAAAATTGAGCAGTAAAAGATAGTTAAGTACATAATAAAGAGATTATGAAGGCCGAAGAAATTATAAATGTATTGTGTGAAGATACACTTAATGAAATTAATACAGATGTGTATGGAAGCGCAGCTCATACTGTGTCAACCCTCGGTAAAAACAAGAAAAGGTTGACATACAAATATAAATTACAATTTATTTTGCTTGTAAGAATTAAGTAATTTCAATTTTACGAAAATCATTTAGTGTCTGTAGAACCTTTGCAGTGATAGAATATTATATTTATAAATGAAAGTCGTACCTGCTTTGTTCAATATTCAAGAATTGTGAAATACCGACATGTATCTGATTAGGCCATTGAGATGAAGTGATCACGTCAATGCCGTCGTCACTGGGCTTAGTGGCACACGACTGTGTCTCCATATGATAAAGATATTGTGAGAATATATTATTAGAGCCTTTCATGATTCTTTGCACATTCAATCCTCTGTCCCTAGCAGGGTATGCTATGAAAATCTTTACACGTTCAGGTTCTCTGTCTAATACTTCTTTTATTGTAAAAATTGGATATTGTTTAATATTTTTATACTTTGCTTTAACCAATAAAGCAGCTCTGTTAGCTATCTTTTCAGATTCAGCTATGATGATACCCATTGGTTGATTGTAATATTTGACATCGCGATCGCAGAGAACTTCCTCTGGAGCCATTGCACCTTCAACATTGAGAGGTACATAGTTATTTGATCCGGGGATATCTTTGGCAGACAAAAATGCTACAACACCAGGTAGTTTCTGAAAATTTAAATCACTGTTAATAATTTTTTAAACAGACGCTTCTAAAATAAAATGTGTTCTTGTTTCAATATAGAGCTTACTTAAGATAATTTAACGAGGCACGTAAAGTAGCAAACTTGGCGGCCACATAACATTTTATTTATTTATTAGCGTTCGTAGGCTTGGAATTAAAATAAAAGTAAGTAGCCTACGTATTCTACCAGACTATCGTCTACGTGTATACCAAATTTCATCGAGATCTGTTTAGCAGTGTAGGCTACAAACTCAAACATCCATCCATCCAAACTTTCGGTTTTATAATATTAAAAAGATTTTACCATTTCTGACTTCAATGTTTCATTTGCAATTTCTATTAAATTCTCTGGTTATCAAAAATTAAAAATTTACTTTGTATTATTAATGTAATACTTACTAATGCAATAGATGGATCGATGCTTTCAATTTCTCCAACACTAATTTCAGTAGGAACAAACGCACAGAACACTTCTCTCGGTGACGTTGGAGTGTCATTGACATAAAAAGATTCTCCTGCACATTGTATTAGTGCTTCTAATTTCGGCATTGGTTCGTTTAGTGGCCAAAGAGTAGGGTTTGTATTATACTCTTGCTTCCCAGATGATAGAGGTCTTGTCTTCCTTAAATCCCTTCTACCGGATCTGTATCGAGGTGCTAATCCACTTTCGGGTATTAAAGTTATTAAACCCTAAAAATAAATCAATTTAATATGTTTATCAGAAAAGACAATGACGTTCAAACGTCATAGAAAATCTTTACCTTATAAAATAAACCAAGAGCACATTTCTTTCTATACTCCGGTGATAAAAAACCACGAATTTCTTCTACTATAATCTCCCCTTGTAAAACACCAAGCGCCAGTTGCAATGTTTCATTTGTAAATAATTTCTTTCCTATCAAACATTTCTCAGTTTGTGTTGCATGAACAAATTTACCAGAGAGACCTCCGTAAACTATTCTTGCAGATTTGACTGTTTCATGATCCGCGTCTAGTTCGTAAAGAAATGCTGAATTGACTTGAGCGTGAGCATTTTGAGCGCGAGGCATTATCTAGAAAAAACATTGTCTTAAACGTTCATTTTGTTTATTACACCCAAGAATCAAATCATCATCATCATCTCCCCTACCTTATTCTACTCCCGTAGGGTTTGCGCACCGGGTTTTCGTCCTCCAAATAACTCTATCATCCGTCTTCTCAGTCATCACACCCTTCTTGATCGTGTCACCTTTCACGCAATCCATCCATCTCTTTCTATGTCTACTTCTACCGGTGTACCCCTACACATTCATAACTATCGTCCGTCTTGTTACATGCGAAAATTAAATCATTAGAATAGAATACGAAACTTCATAGTTACGTGTAAAGCAATGTAAAATAAGTAAAGTTCTTACCTTAAACGAGACAAACTCATAATTGTGAGACAATGGTGGTATTTTGACCTGTGTGATTACTTTACCAGTCATATCTATTTTCAGAAATGTCTCCGGTGTCACTTCATCTACTGATGTTGCAGAAACTGCGAAGTAACAATTGAAAATTAAAATCATTTCAGTTTCATTTTTAAAATCTGACGATAAAATTATTTTGAACTAGCTTTCGCCCACGAATCCGTCCGCGTGGAATTATAAAAACAAAAGTGAGTAGCCTATATGTTCTTCCAGAATATCCTTTATATCTATACCAAGTTTCATCGAAATACATTTAGCCGTTTAGGCTATAAACTCTAACAAACATCCATCCATTTAAACTTTCGCATTTATAATATCAGTAAAATTACGAGTATAGTTACAATAAATTATTCTAGTGTTCATTAATTTCTTCTTACCAATTGTTAGAGTTGCACCTACTGCTTCAAATAACAAAAATACGTCTGAAGAAAATGTCAGTTCTCTATGCTTTAGCATCAAATTACCAGCAACTGATCCTATCTGCAATGCAAATGTTAATTTTACCCTCTTATAAATAGGTAGTAGGTCGTTTATGTTTTAAACTTCGTAATTGACTTACATTTCTCACAGGTATATGTGCTACTAAATTTAAATGATCATATAACTTCTTCAAATAATGAAAGTGCACATCTTTCTCTGATATATGTTTGAAAAGATCCATCAAATCCCTCAATGTCATCCCCCCGCCTATTACTAAGTTCTGATCCATGTAGTAAGTTTTTAATTCTTCAACAGAACTTATATCTATTAAGACTTTAGGAAAAGCGAAGATGGGAACCGCTCCTGTAACAAATAGTTACTAGCTTTCGCCCGCGACTCCGTCTGCGTGAAATTAAAAAATAAAACAAAAGTGAGAAGCCTATGTGTTCTTCCAGACTACTCTACATATGTACCAAATTTCATTAAAATCCCGTCAGCCGTTTAAGCTACAGACTCTAACAAACATCCATCCATCTAAACTTTCACTTTTTGTATATTAGTATGATTGACTTTTTAGGTCTTTGATTTTTCAAATATCTCTTAATTCATTCTTACCTCGTCCAGTATTTCCATTTACCAACATATAAGACATTGTGCCTTCAGTACTAAACACTTCAAATATATCTTTAATTTCATTAACTCTGTACCAGATTCTATCATCTTTTAATATTATTTTTTTATTCTTAGAAGTGATGTTCTCTTTATTCAACAAACACCAGTTATTGTCTAGAGAGAGTTCACATTTATCTTTGTTACTGCATATTTTTAAATCCTCGATGTCAGTGAGGTTATCTTTAGGAAAGTCGCAGGCGAAGCTTTTAAAAGCATCAAGTATTGGTCTGTATCCAGTACATCGGCATGTGTTGCTGCCAAATGAATCTTCTATTTGGTATTGAGTTATTTTGTAATTATTTTCTTCAAGTAAACTGTAAAATAATTTGTTAAGAATTCTTTTTTGCATTGATATTTGTGCATGTATATGGATTTCATTGTGACGGCCTAGATCCTAAATGGCGAAACCGATCTTAACGGCGGAAGTGTCATTCGATTCCGATTATTAAAATTTTTTTTAACATAAGGTGGCAAACGAGCAAGCGGCCACTTGAATCCGCCAAAATGGCGAAGCGACCGCTGCCCATAGACATCCGC